AAACTGGTCCTATATTTACTCTGTTACAGATGGAGTAATGTAACAAAAGTAATTTTGCCCTGGAATTATTAAAGTATTTCTGATTCGGATTCCTCTTTGATGGGACAGGCGTTGTGAATGAAACAGTGTCCAGCTTGAAAGAGCTCCTGTGTGTCGCTGAATGTGTGCATTGATCATGGGGAGTTCTAGACGGGGGCCAATGGGGGCCAGTACTCCTGTAGATCATGTCCTGGCCCCTGTTATGGCCCCTATACTGAAGACCTAATACTCAAAGAAATTCTAATGATGATATGTGCTGGAACAGACATGGTTACTGATAGATCCTTTGGATCTATTTCATTCTTTTTCTTTACAAATTCTGTTTTACTAATTATTCAAAAACAATAAGGTGATAAGTGTGATTAAGTGTTTCAGCCCTACATATAATATTACAAGGTAAAAACTGAAAAAAATAAACGTCTATTAAAGCCTGTATATATGATCTGCCAAAGGAAGGAGAAGTTTGGCTCTTAAAACAAGATAATTAAATACTATCTGTTTGAAATACGCTAATAGATTATCTTATTTTAAGCAAAAGTCTTCTTATTCCATGTGCAAATTGTCTTGAAAATAAAATAAAAGAAAATCAAAAACAATCCACTGGACTTTGTTTCAAAGTTTAAAAACTAATGATTTTTAAAATGTATTTATTTTTTATTTTTTGAAAAAGCCTCCTGGATGGGAAGCGAGGTAGGCGTTAGCGTAAAGGGCCTTGCCTTAGGACCCCCCATGGGATTCAGGGGGTATTTGAACCCGGACCGTATGTGTGCAAGTAGGGTGAGCTGTAATAACTGTATTTTATGTTTTTATATTATTCTATGAAACATCCCTGAATAGTTTGTACAATTTTACATCACTACTCAAAATAATGTACAATGTAAAGTTATGATGATCATTGGTGGTGAATAGATCAGTTACTCAGTACTTAAGTAGCCTTTTTACCAAATACATCTTTACTCTTACTTGACTGAGTCATTGAAGGGTTCTGTTTTCTCCTAATGAAGATTATTTATTTCAGTAATCAAAATGACATTATAGTAGTTGGATAGAGGATTAATATTTATACTGGGTGTGGTGGTAAATAAGCAGGAAACATTTGATCAAGAAAAATGAAACTTAAAAATGACCAAAATAATGTAGAAATAATTATTCCCTTAAAGAACAGCTCTAAAACTGGTTGCTGAATGTGAGGTGAAGTCCTGCTCTGCCCACATCATGCAGTGTGCGTCACCTTCTCCTCTCCCCTGCAGAGCAGCGGGGGCCCTCAAGCAGCTGATGAGGTGGCAGGTTGGCCGCAGGCGGCACTCTTGATGGTCTCCCCCACTATGAAGGCGGTGGTGGATGCCGTGTGGGCGGTGTGGAGCATCGGCGCCTCCATCTATGACTATATCCACACCAACGCCATGGAGGAACGCATCCACGCCCTGGAGAACGTCATCACCATTCACCAGTGTGTAATCGGGCTCCTGAGTGCCGGCATGCTGGCGCTCTTCACCTACATCCTCTTCAAGAAGCTCTGACTGACTGGAAAGGGAATCAATGTGGGGTATGATGAAGCAAAGTAGGAAGGGTTTAAGGAGGATGGCTGGTAAAAACCAACATGGACGTCTGAACACTGTTAACATGTTCAAAGCAAGAGGACCCTAAAATAATGCCATCCACACAGGAGGTTGCTTACTTCATTTTTTTATTTTCATTTCTGGATTTGTTTTTTCAGGGTGAACAAAAAGAAATTGTCCCCACCTTTGTATTGTCCGGGTGTTTTATGTGTTTTCTTAAGGTCTGACTAAATCGTTTTTTTATTAACATTTTGATTTCATACTTAGGTTTAAAATGCTCCTCCAAATTCCCATAAGGAATGAACGCCAAATACTTAAATTTAGCCTTAAACGATTTTAGATTAGCTAATAAATCAAAAAGCATTCAGGCTCGTTACCTCTGGTTTCACAAGCTCAAGCTGTTGACTTATACACATCCAACACGTACTTCTCAGGTGATATATAAACATTTTACAGCATCATAGCCAAATGTCTCCAAGACATTTCACTTTATGTTATTGCTCATAAGATGGGTCATCTAATGTAAAAGATTAGAACAAAAAATAAATAAATTAATTTAAAAAAAAAAATTTTTTCACCAAAATACAAGGTCTAACTCATTTAAAACCAGTTTGACATAAAAAAAAAATCTCTTCTGTTGTGGCTATGAAAACAGGCAGCTGCTTAATCAAAGAAGAGATCAACAGTTGTTACAGACTTGAACCTTTCTCATGATTTTTTTGTATCACAACCACAAATATCCAATTTGTGGTTGCAAGTAATGGAAGTTAATGTAATAAACCAACATAACGATGATATATGAAGCATATTACGGTGGCCGGGAGGTGCAAACCAACATTACAAAATCTAAAATACTTTTACAAATTCCAAAACAAATTATCATTTCAGAAAACAAATTTACATAAAAAAAAAAAAAACTTTTAGAAGTGGCATTTGGTCATATTTACTCTTTATTTGCAAAAATTAAAGGAGGGGAACCATTTTTCCCCTCCTTTAATTTTCTTAAGTTTCTGTCAGGCTGAAGGGACAAAAGCTGGAGAAACACCGATTCTCTTGGCATTTAAAAAAAAACAACATAAAACAGCGTAAGAAGACCTCGTTATTGTATTTATTTTACAAATTTTTAAAAAGAGCAACCGATTAAACTGAATGTTACAAAGTTAATATGATTATATGAGCTGTTTTCACCGAGAAATGATCAGAAGCGCATTGAAAATGGTCAGATCCGCCTCTCTGGCTGGTTCAATTCCTCAAATGATAATTTGTTTTGGGACTTGTAAAAGTGTTTTGAATGTTTTTTTATTCGTTTTCTCAAAATGCCATTTGTTTTGAATTGTTAAAAATTTTTTGCTTATTTTTGTATGTGAATTTGTTTCCTGAAATGATAATTAGTTTTAGAACTTGTAAAAGTTTTTTAGATTTTGTAATGTTGGTTTGCTCCTCCTGGCCGCTGTAATATATTTTCCATAGAAAGGAATGAGGAAAGGTCTGTGCATGACTCAGTTTAAACCGCTAACCTTGAACCTATTCATATAATAGTGGCTCCGTAGATTAAAAAAAAAAAAAAAAAAAGATTTCTGCCTTTGTTGCCATTTTTAAAATCTAAAGTGGTCCACAGCAGAGGTTCCCAAACTTTCTGGCTCCTGACTTGAATAGTACTTGAATTGACTCATGTCCAAACTATTGCTTGAAGTATAAATATTTCATCTTAACATCTTTTTACTATAGGTATAATAGTAATGAAAACAGCATAGGGTAGGATCATCTAGCTTAAAAATCAAAATATTTTTTCCTGCAAAATCCGATTTATAATTCTTTTGACTTAAGTTAATAATTAAAAAAAAGACATATTGCTTTCAATTTAAAGGGTAATGAAACTCAAGCTGTGAGAGTTTGCCACTAGCAGTATCTCGCTGTGAGCTATTTTATCAGTTATGAAGAATGAATTAAACTTTGACATTACATTGAGTTAAGAATAAAGCAAAGAAATGAACTCTCTGCATTTAACCCATCCCCTTGGGGAGCAGCGGGCTGCCATTGTGTGGCACCTGGGGAGCAGTGAGTGGCAGTCCATGGGAGAGGGGCTTGAACTCATAAACCTGGGATCCCAGTGCAATGCCCTAACCACTATGTCGCCACTCACCCGAGTACACATCTAAGGACAAAATTCATATTTCCATTTACAAAAAAATGAATTAACCACCCAGCCTTAAAACAGCATAAACAATGTACTTTATATCTAATGTTTTTTTTATGTCTTCAAACACACAAATATACTTAACCATTACCATGTATAGTGATTAGTTGAATTACATTAAATTGAATTAAATTCAGGACGTGTTTAGCCCCAAATTCGATAACTTTAGGACACAAAGGTCTTAAGGTCGAACAAGAAATAGCCCTGAATAGTTTTGAAATGGGGCGAATATAAAGACAACGAAATGTTTGTTTTCACAATTATGCTCTACACTGTGGTGGTCTACTGCTTAGAATCCCATTAAAATAGATCGTAGTTAATGTTTAAATTGACTGTGTGAATACCTTTGCGAGGTTTTCTATGTAGACTGTCTGCATCTTGTTATGGTCTTCAACGTTGGAGATTCTATTAGCTGTTATACAAAAGTTAAATGTGCTATCTAGAATATCTAGATCTATTTTATGCACCTTTTCCCCATTAACAGTGTATACCTCATAACCAAGACTGTAGGTGCCAATGCTGTTAAAGGTAAGCCACCAAGTTAAAGTGTCCTTAAAAACCAGGTATACATGGAAGCTTGTGATTGTTCTAATGGTCTTATATTTTTTACCATGAAAAGTTTCTATTTCAATACTTATGGTGAAGGTAATCACTCTCTATCTGTGCTGGTGTTTAAGATGAAACTTAAAACCAAAAGAAGTTGAGGCTGAACATTATTTTAATAAAACAGCTGAAGAATTCTGCTTTGAAAAGAGATAAAACAAATGCGGACTTGACAGAACAAGTGTTTTGTTTTTGTTAACACAGCTTCATCTTTTTTAACAGGAATAAAACACACGCTGTGAATGACAGACCCAAAGATCAGAACGATGAATGTCTCCTAGAACATGACTAGAACCCTACAGAAGAAACAGCCGGCTCTTCTTCATTCAAAATGTGTTTCATCGATTAAATTTTTTGTTCAAAACCAAAAATGATGTAAAAAAACACTTTAACTTAGAGAGAAACTTTGGTTCTGTTGAAAAAGTCAAAAATACAGTTAGCAGATTGGTTCTGGTGGAAGGATCTGTTCATTAATTCCAGCTAAAGGCCACTAAAGTTCATATTCAGACATAACTGTAAAAGGGTGCAAAAACCAATCATGTTTTCTGATAACTGCTGGTATAACATCAGTTCAGCATGCGCCGCCGTGGCCATTTCAGACGTGTTTGGCTGCGTCTCCCCATGTTCCTTCACAAGTGTCCGGTCTGAAGCAGAGTGTATTTGGAGGTGAACCTCTCCACGCTCTCCCCCTCCAGGAACTTCATGGCTCTCCAGTGGATCTTTGCGCAGTTTTGCGGCTGGCCGAGCGCTCCCATCTCCTCCTGGATGTACTGCAGCCACAGGTCTTCAGGACAACAGAGAACGTTACACTTTAAATATAAGAATTTAGGAAATGTCCTCCATGTTGTTGTGTGAAATACAATTTCCCCTTATCCTAAAGTTAAGCAGCCTTCGTACAAATGTATTTATTGAAAATGAATCTAGTTTTTAGTGGAGATAGGGTATTTACTTATCTGCATCTGTTTAACTTGAAGCTGTAAATAAAAGTTTTTAACTATTTGTATGTCTACTGGTTTTGCCAGCTGGGATTCACCATCATCTTCGATGCCAAACTCCTGCAGCGCCCTCTCATAATAGTCTCTCAGATGGTTCATCTTGGGGGTCTCCTGTAGATCAATTAAGTTAATCGCTAGAGTTAGAGCCAGTTCAAAGCATCTGCAAACTAAATCATTGTGTATTTCCTTTCAGTTCATATTTTCTCCAAATCAGACATTACTGCCAACAATGAGGATTTACATACAATATCTAAGAGTGGAGGTCAGGGTAAAAATGGTTCCAACATGGTCACCAACAGGTTTCTGAGAGCATGTATGAAAATGCTAATAGTTATCTTTTCACTAAGTCACTGCGGGAAAAATGTTGGATTTTATATGGAGCTATATAAGTGTCATAAAATGTATGAAAAAAAAACATTAAACTTGGGAAAAGTAAAAAAAAAAATAAAATAAAAATTAACTGGAAAAAAAGTAAAAAAAAAAAAAACGTAAAACTGAAAAAAACAAAAAAAAAAAAAAACGTAAAATGCCATGGATGTGGGCACCATATGGGCACCATATTTTATTCTCTAAGATTAGCGTTGTGTATGTAGGCAAACAGTTTTTATAGGTAAAGCATGTTATTTTTCACAGCCAATCACATACAATATAGATGATTTAAAGACATTTCCAGTCCCCACGGTGCCTGAACGCAACCGGTTGTTTAGCCAATGTGTTGAGCTGTTTGCCGGTATGCCCAATTTTGGTCCCCGAGGTCCGCTGTCCTGCAGGTTTTGGAAGTTTCCCCTTTTCAGCACAGCTGCTTTTCACCGATAGCTGATTAACAGGCTTTTGCTGAACTGCAATCATCAGAATCAGCTGTGCTAAAGCAGGGAACCCTCTAAAGCCTGCAGGACTATAGCCCTTGTTCTTTTGAACAAACATATTTTTCTGTGTATTTTTTTTAAACAAACTTGTCTTTTTTCCAGGTTTAACTTTTTTTTTATTGAACATACTTTATGACCCCAATTTAGCTCCATATTTCCAGTGTTCACATATGATTTACAGCGCTCGTTTTCACTTACTTGTTCCTTCTCAATTTGAATCATTTGGGTGAAAAACCTCTTGGACAAAGGTCGATTTTCTTGTAAGCTAAAAACAAAATAGAAGAGGTTAATTCACTGTGCTGTAATAGCCAAACACAAAAAGTTAAAATGTTTAGTTGTTATTCTATCTTTTTCCATTTCTGTTATTTTATTTTAGTGGAACATTACCTTGTAAAGGTCTTTCTGGCTTTTTTATAGCCTCCAACTGAGTAAGACCAATTGAGGTAGAGCTCTTTAATCTCCATGGCAATAGCTGGGACAGAGGACAGCAAACCTCTCTGAGAGGAAAGATGGGAAATGTTTGAAAATACTGGAAAAAGTCAACATAATCTATAAAATGCAGGAGGGTTTTTAGTTTGACGTTTATAAAGCAAAAACAGACACACATGAAGACATTTTCAGACTCTTTAAGGGGAGAGTTGAGGCTACCTTGAAGATAGCCTCTGTCTCTTCAGCACTTTGGTTGGCCATGCTCCACTGGAGCTGCAGCTGCAACAGCGGTAGAATTTCCTGAAAAAAAAAAAGGAAATTACAATTAAAAGCTTAAAACAGTAGTGAGAATTAGTTTTATTGCTCTAATAAGATGGATTACAAGACAGGAGCTTTGAAAGAAATTGTCAGCTTTATTTTTCTAATACTCTGGGGAGGAAAGGCTCATAAAAAAAAGAAGTAGTCAATTAATGAAAGAACGAGAAACCCATTGGTAACTTCATATAAGCCATACAGGTAACAGGACATTTGGAAGATTATCCTCTGGTTATATTAGGCTCAAATTAAACTTTCTCTAGAAACGCAACAAGGAAAATAACCCTTAATGGCCGCGGGGATAGTTTGGTCCAGCAGGGAAAGAGAAGCTTCTCAGAGTTTATCGACGAGGTATTCTTTCTTTGCCATAGCAAGAGGTTGACCAGCATTTTTTAGGGTTGAACCATGGATCTCTATTTATTCACTGGATAGCTAATAACCCGAAAAAAAGTGAAAACACCAGCCGCCATATTGGTACTCTCCACTCCCACGGAGATGCGCAGGAAAAATCCCTATGTATCTAACATTTGACCTCAAAAACAAGCAGGTTGCCGGCTGTGGGAAGAAGTTTCACAGGTAATTTCACAGTCAGTGGATGAACTAACCAAGAAAATCCATATGTACGCCCATACATACAGGAGTGTTGGACTAATGGTTACAGCATTGTGCTTGGGTCTCGGATGTTCTGAGTTCAAGTCCCACAGACTTCTACGGACTGCCACTCTGGGTCCCTGAGCCAGACCCTTAACCCCAGACTGCTGCCCTGCCTGGATTCAGGACAACATAGCCAAGTGGCAAATGGGATATGTGTTGTTCAGACTGTGGCATATGAGAAAAAAAAATGGATTTGGGTCACTACAGGCTGCAGTGTGAAAATAGCGCAATAAAGAGACAAGAAGGCAACATTCGGGCTTATTTTTTTGTCACGTTTTTGTAACTAGACAATAACAACATTTTTTTCACTTTTGGTGTTGGAGAGATCCGTTAGTCCTTGATGAGATCAGATATTTATACACAGATGATAAATACTTTGATCATATCTGGAGATTTAAAACAAAACCCATAGGCAAAGTAAAAAAAGAAAATCTATATTGAATTAAATCTGGTAAAATCCTCATATTCATCTTTTTGTTCCTTTTTGCAAACTGTGTTTTTATAATGCAGATAGAGCATTTTTTAATTAAGAAATCTCCATGCAATAAACTCTGAGTAATGTGGTAGAACTCCACATACCAAAGAAAACCTGGAGGTTTACATATTTCCTCACTATACCCAAGCAGTGAGGAAAGACTTACATAACAAGCATTTTGTAATCCTCCTCAAGCAGCTACAGCAGTGTTAGGAACCCCCCCCCCCCCCCCACAACAAGCAGCTGTTCTGCAGACGGCTATCAAGGAGTGAGGCCGAGTTAAAGCTGTTAAAGCCAACATTTGTCACATTTATAGGCAGAAGTAGCAGAGAACAGTTTGGAGCAGAGACTAACTGGGCCAAGGAGATGACCCATTTATACTGCTGTGCCAGTGGGTAACACGTCTGCCTCCGTAGGGAGAACAATTAAAGCGGTCACTGTAACAGCACGTTTGCCACAGGAATAATCAAGCTAGAAGACAATAAGAACCAAGGAATGTGTTAGTGTGTGGGTGTACCTTGGGATTAACATGTGTGAGAGCGTTTTGGAACAGTTTGGCCATGTCTCCTCTCTCCAGCTGCATTAACACTTGCAGACTCATGCTCCACACCGACACTGATTGGCTGTAGCGCTGGGTGGCGGACAAGGCCACGGCGGCTGCCCCCTCGGCGTCCTCCAATGACAGCAGGATCTCCAGCTGGTCGCGTAGAAAACATTCAAGTTTGATTCTAAACATGTTTTCAAGTCATTACTACTAATTTAACACAATTTCTATTACATTGTTGGTCTTTGTGAACCTCTGATAAGACTTTGCTTCGATGTTTGTTAACAGCTTTATTTACTAACAATCTCTACTCTCAGCTAATAAAATAAATGAAATAAAAATAATTCTTAAAAAGATAAAATCCTCCTCCTTCGAATAGGACATCTAAATCAGTCAGTTTTCCAAATCAACTAATGACACATTTAGAATTTATGCAAGCTATTAAATAGGGATGCACCGTTCCACTTTTTTCACCTCCGATACGATACCAATATTTGAAGTTTAATGTCAGCCGATACCGATCCGATACCAAAAACAGCACTGAATTATCACCTAAAAAATTGTTTTATTGTGTGAAAAAAAAACTGGGATCATTCTTCTGTGCACATAATTTGTTTTCCATTTTCTTAATAAAAAAAAATAGGAAACAACCCAAATATAAATGTTATGACTCATTTATTTAGCAACTGTTCTCTGACTTGGTCAACATGTGAAAAAAGTGTCACTATCATCTGTGATTTTTTGGGCCTGTATACTATTACATGGAAAAATTTCACTTCTTTCCTTTGCTTCCATCAAAGTTAGCTGCTTCCCGCTGCTTCCTTTTTGTTTGCCGAGTCCGATAATCTCAGCATGTTCCTTGTTATGAAACTTCTGGAGGTGTTTCATTAAGTTGGTGGTGTTATAGTTTGAAGATTTAACGCCGCCCCTCGGAACACTTCTCCCACAAATATTGCACGCCATTGGGCTAGCAGGATGAGAGAGCATGAAAAACCACATCGCAGATCCTTTCGCTCACTCCATCATAAACAATATGGCCGTGTTGTGTTGTTGCGCTGCCGCATGACGGCAGAGCATAGCATAGAGCTAGAATGAATAGATAGGCCCCTATATCGAGTCAATTGTCACCGATACCGATCTAGTTTGTTTTCTTTATAGCTGGACCGATACCGATAAAAATATCAGATCGGTGCATCCCTGCTATAAAATAAGTAAAAAAATACTTGAAATATGAGAGGGGTCCCCCAAGGCTGCGTTCTAGGTAGGGGTGTAAATAATAATCGTTTTGTATCGATGATTCGATCCAACAGCCGACGATCCGATGCATCGACACGTCCGCAAGATAATCGATTCATGTTTTTTTTTTCCTCCGGTCTATTTTTATCCATTTGCTCCTGGGCGTANGGCGAGGAAGTGGGGGCGAGTTTAGTCCGACGACGGAGGGATATGAGGGCGGAGATCCAGGTGGAAAAAGGGTCCCAGCGTTCTCGCGCACCTCGCTCTTCTAGCTGGTCAAACTTCACGAGTCGTTTTCCGCAATTTCGGTCATAAAAACAAAACAAGCTGGCGTCCTGTTTGCGGTCATCTACAATTTGGGAGAGGAGCAGCGGAGCGTCTCTCAAGGGGGCGGGAACGTCCACACTCTGGAGCTGAGGTATTGAATTGAACTCATTGCAATGATTATGTGCAGTATTTTTGCAGTATTTTTTGATGCAACTTTTCTACTTCTGTTATTTGCTGTTGTTTCTAAAAAAAAAAAAAATGCAAAACGATATTACAGCTTTCATTGATTTATTTCAAACTTGAAACTTTGTTTAGTGTAAAAAAAATAATCATAATTAAAAAAAAATTTAACCGATTAATCGATTAATCTCTTCAGTGGATCGGCAGCTTTAAGGCGGCAAATAAATAAAGAAATCTTGAACCTAACTGTCAAAATGTGTGAATTTGGGACATTTGTTCTCCGTCATGCCTGCTGCTAGCATGTTCTTGTGCTAAATGAAAATTAGCCCCTTATTCTTTCCTTTCCAACTTTAACTTCCCCCTCTGGCGGTCAGGAACTATCAACAGAAAAGCAGCACTTTCTTATAAGCTACATGGTGCAAAGCTTGGAAAAAAGTATTGGCTTATAGTCTGGAAAATACAGTAATTGCTCTATTTCTATAATAGTTAAACACTAGTTCATTAATCCATTATTTACAATAAATTACATTGTTTATAGCCCAATGACTACAATTAGTAGTAGAAAACAGCACAATTCTGATTCCAGTGAATGAACCAATCACTGACCAATCATAAAAATCCATTAATGTAAAAATAGTTGTAATATCAAAGTTACCCATTATAGTGCCAGGTTTTAGGTTTCACTAAAAACCTTAAAATTGTGAACGATCTTACATTGTGCTTTTCTAATCTTAGTTAAAATCTATGTAAAAATATAATCCAATTAAGAATCTGAATTATTGTTATATTTCATGAAATGCAATCATAACAAATGAAGGTTAAAAATGTCAATAATTCTTTACTGAGATTGTGTCTTGGAATTTAAGAGCCATGTCATGAAATGTGACCCAGGTGTCAGAAAAACACATCAGCATCCATGACTGAACATTTAAGGATCTTACCCAGTTTTTGTAATAAGTCTCCTTCAGCAGTGAGGAATCATGGGCACGCTGTAAAACTCCCAGCAGCCTCTCCCGTCTCTGTGACACAAACATGTCATCATATACACCTCCATCTTTTATTCAAATCAAAATATAAATGAACCGTGAATAAAGAATAAAAGCATCTTAGTACATTTTCCTTCAGTTCCTGGACGTTGGTTTTCCTCTTGTGTCTTTCCAAGCAGAAAGCCACGTATCGAGTCCACATGGGCTCTGAAAGCAAAAACAGCAGCAGCTTCTTTTACAGGCCCTTCTAACTAGCAGTGATGGTATCAATATAGAGCACACACACAATGCAAGGAGAGGAAATCCAAAATAATAATTAAGCCTGTGTTTTGTGAGCTCCTACCAGTGTTGAGGCTCTTAAGGCCTTCCTCATAGACCTGGCAGGAGCGCTCCTCTCTGCGGTTAATATCCGAAGCCCGGCCTTTAGCGGTTTGGAGCTCCTCGCCAACAACAGGAGCCTCCAACTCCCTTTTAGCCATGAAATCCCACGTCAAGCTGTCCTCTGTGTAGTTTTCCTGTAAGCTTTAAACAGAGGAGAGCGGATAAGGGTCTAGTATGTGAACATAAACTGCTGCTGATGCTCAACAGAAGCTTAAAGGTATAGAGGACGATCTTTTATTATCATCTCAATAAGTGGTCGTCCTAATGGTCAATCATTCTGGTGATGTGTTTGCGTAAGGCCATCCTACGTGCTTGTAACGTTAGCTATCTTGTTCTGCGCACTTTCAGGTGTATCTGTGACTGATGACTGTCTGAAACCGAAGCTCACCTTTCTCACAGTGGTTCTTTGAAAATGGCCGAGGGTCATAAGAGAAAAGGGGAAAAATGAGAAGAAAGGCCTCAGAAGAGGCAGAAATATCTCAGAATGCTTTGCACGAAGAGCTCTCCTTGCAAAGCATTATGGGATTTGCTGTCCCACCGGCCCGCTGTCGCCATAGGCTGCTGCTACCCGACGGTGGCGACTAATAACAAAGATGGCGCAGGCACCGCGCAGTGGACCAACGGGGAAATGATCATCTGTTCGAACGGTAAATTAACCGTGTTTGCTATAAAGTCCACTATATAATCCCTGCTATATATAGTGATTGAGGGATTTAGGGGTTAGAGCGGACGTTCGGACAGTTAGCTTGTATGAGCTATGAGAAGAGCAACTTTTAAAACGAGCGTGCACAAAGAGAAATGGGCTTGTACATGTTCTTGCATGCGCATTCTTCTTTTTTAAGTGGGGAGGGTGACTGTGGCGTCAGATGTAGGAGTTCAGATTGACGGTTCAAGCCCCGGCTACGACTTTCAGTGTTGTTGTGTCCTTGGGCAAGACACTTCACCTGCATTGTCTACTGATTGTGGTCAGAGGGCCCGGTGGCGCCAGCGTACGGCAGCCCCGCTTCTGTCAGTGAGCCCCAGGGCAGCTGTGGCTACAATGTAGCTTGCCACCATCAGTGTGTGAGTGAATGGTTGAATGACTGAATGTAGTGTAAAGTGCTTTGGTCAAGTCTCCTGACTTGAAAAAAAGCACTATACAAGTACAGGCCATTTATCATTTTAAAAATATTCGAGAAAATCCTCCACAATTCCTTTAAAAAAGACCATACGTTATATTTGCTTCTTACTCATGCAGGATAGAGTCTTGGAGATCTTTGGTAAAGTCAAAGATGGTTGCTATGTTCAGGAGTGAGATCACAAATTCTGCCTCTGTGGGTCACAATGGAAGCAGAATTACAAAACTTAAAGAAATTAAACAAGAACTTAAACCAGCATTTGCACATTTAACATGTTTTTTCTTTTTAATAAAATGACACAAATCTCACCTTTGATTTTTTCTGTAGCGTTTCTGTAAACAACCTCAGCCAGTTTACCACTGAGGATCTCTGCAGAAAACTCATATTCACCCTGGAAGGGATCAACAGAAGGTCAGAGTCCCAGTCTCTACTCTGCCTTACAAAATGTAGTAGTCAATTTACAACTGAAGACATTTTATAAAATTATCTGGGTTTTGTGTAAATTTCTGACTCTAAATTCAGTCTTTATATTTTCGGGGAACTCACCAGATCCATATCAGCTTTCTCCAGCTCTTCCTTCTGCTTCCTCAGCTTCTCACAGTGCAGCAGCTCCATACGGAAGTACTGATGTAAACAGGGATGGAGAATTTAGAGGAAGCATGAGAGACACTGCCCTCATCCCAACATTCATTAATTGTATTTTATTTTCGCTTTACCTCCTGGTAGACTTTCTTATTGTCAGGGTGGAATCGCAGAGCTCGCAGGAACAAGTGTCGGGCACTCTCTGATGAATTTCGATCTTCAAGCTCGCTCTTTGCAGCCATGATCCACAACGCTAACAGAAAAGGTGACATTTAAGTGGATTTGAAGTCATATCATGGATTTCTACACTGGAAGCATCCTAGATCCTGTGTTTTCTGTACCTGGCTTGTCAGGGTGGATAGCCAGTAAAGATGAGAACACCTTGCTGATCTGAGCTTTGGTTGCCTGATGAATGAAGTTCAACAGAAGTTAAAGGTTGTATTCAGACACAGTCATGAGAGGATTCAGATAAGCACAGAGATCTTTACATACCCATTTCTTGCAGAAAGCGACATGTGAGAGCCACAGCTGCACATCGTCCTGTTCATTAGGAACACATCAGGATATTGATGAAGAGGAAGAAAAAAAAAAGAAAAAATATCTGAGTTAATGTGAAAATTATTCCAAAGACTTTCTGACCATTTGTTCCCTACAGGAAGATAATTAGTGGCGCACCCCCTCCAACCTCCATAACCTCTCTAAATATGCCTCTACTGTTGGTATGGGCCAATAGTCTTTGCTATTAGTAACTGCACTGAAAGCAAACACCACAAAAATTCAAATACAAGCCAACTGTTCTTGAATGCAGTGCATTTAGGTTAGACAATTTACCAATAGAATAAGTTCATTTACATTTAAAATAAGGAAAAAACAACTCCATTATCCTATTTTAAGTGCAAAAATACTAATTCATCTGATCATCTTATTTACCTGCTCAATTTGAGGGCAAATACATAGAATTTCTCATGGTGAGATGCACTGACAGGAGAGACTGTAACCGATTCCTCACTCGGACCATTTCAACATTTCATCTTTACAATTTACCTATTATTGCAAGAGGTGGAGCGATACCAGCTAGAAATAGTCAGGCTCGCCTCCACAAAAAGACTCAGCATAGAGTCCCTCAGGAGGTGTTCAAGGCACCTCCCAGGGGACTGGGCCCAGGGGACGACCCAGGACGTGCTGGAGGGACTATGTCTCTATGCTGGCCTAGAGCGCCTCGGGTTCCCCAGCAGAGCTGGCGGAGGTGTCTGGGGAAAGGGAAATCTGGGAGTCTGTTGAGACTGCTGCCCCCACGACCCTGTACTGGATGAAGTGGAAGACGACGAGTATGAGAGAATTATTTAGAAATAACAGTCAGCTTCAAGCTCCACTTGTATTAAGATAGGATCACAGTTTTCATCTGTTAGATCAAACTAAACTATTCCAAGGGTTCATAGAACAACGTTCACTCAAACTATTTGGTCTTTGCAGCTATTTCATGATGCTAAAGGGTCGTTTTAATTTCACTCTAGCCTCCAGTACAAAATAATCTGGAGGCTGGTTTTCTCCCAGTGGTTTACAGCAGATATTAGTCCTGCATTAGCTACAAAAATCCTGAAATAATTCTCAGGATTTTTGAAATACAGCCTGTTTAATATCATCTTTACCCACTGGTAAAAAAGAGAAGATGTAGACAGAATCATCCTGAAATGCCACTACAAAAATACAAATGACATGCTTTGCAAACCTTCACGGGTTCAGTTTTCTGATTTTTTTTTTAAATCACAATAATGGACTGAAAGCAGAATAATGAACAAATCTAAGCTTTACAATAATATCACAGTCCTGCGCTCATTTTAGTGCATCTATTCGTAGCATCAGCACAGCCCTTGAGTTATACCAGACATAAATAAGACTGGTTGCTATAAAAGAAATAAATATTCTCTATATCATTGTTTATGTGTGTGAATAATGTTTACAGTTAAAGGAAAACACACAGTCACCATTACTTGGAAGCATAACACTATTGTTGACATCTAAAAAGAAAAGTCTTGTAGAGCAGTGAAGACGTAGAAGTAAAGATGAGGAGTTGCACTAAAGATGCGTTCGGATGTTCAAGCATTGTAGAGGGAATGTTGGACTGTTGCCACTGATGCGTAGTCTGGGTGACATTAGCTGTCAGTGTCTCAGAGTGCATCTGCACGCACAGTGAGGCAAAGCCTTTTAAACAATGGCCTATTTGACAAGCAGAGCAGCAAAAAAGCTGCTTCTGTCCAAGAACAACTTCAAGGACGGACAGGAATTCTGTAGGAGGCGTAAGGATGGATAACAGGAGACTTCTTCTGAGTTACAGAGAGGCAATAAGGTATTCATTCAGCCACTGATTGTGAATCTTTTCCTACTTAAGCCCACACACCTTGACGATTTAGACCAGCGTATGTCTGACATATGAGAAATTTGGAAAAATGGCTGGCATCCTTTGGATAGGTTATGGGTGCGTTTTGTATAATTTATGAGCATGCTGCAGTATGCTGAAGCACGCCGGCACAGGTCGACATATGGCAAGTACTTCACATATGCCAGCGTATGCTCATACATGGGCTATAAGTTACAGGTAAGTTATCTGATCGCTGAAATACGTCAAGTCTAAGTTACTCATAAGTCCTGGTGTCTAGCTTATCCTAAACCTATGAGTAAAATGTGCATAACTTATGCGTAACTTATCTCAAACGCATATCATGTATCTGATGTGTTCCAGACGACTGTTGAACGTCTTTCTAACTTACAGCTACTGTATAATGGCGTATTTGCAGCATATTGGCATCAGGATATTTATGAAGAGGAGGAACAAAAAAGCAAAAATATCTGAGTTAATGTGAAAATTATTCTGATGACTTTCTGACCATTTGTTCCCTACAGGAAGATAATTAGTGGCGCACCCCCTTCAACCTCCATAACCTCTCTAAATATGCCTCTACTGTTAGCATGGGCCAATATTCTTTGCTTTTTAGTAACTGCACTGAAAGCAAACACCACAAAAATTCAAATACAAGCCAACTGTTCTTGAATGCAGTGCATTTGCCCTTGATGTGATCAGGTAGGTAAGACAAATTAAGATATAAAAAGGGGGTTCACAGGAGGAAAACGTAAGTCCTCCTCCAGACTTCAGACGTTCCACAAAAGATGGAGGATCCGGCAAGGCTTAGACAGGAATACATACTAGCTGTCCTCCAACATCAGCACGATCTCATCAGTTTGACTCGGTTTCACTTGTAGGGTGAGCGTGAAGGTGAGTGTGATGGAGCCTCCCTGCGTTCACACCCACGACCAACAAAACAATCAGACATGACCCTAAATCTGCTGTGTCAGTAAACAGTTTCTTTTTATTTTTTTATTTAGTTTTTGGAGGCAGCTAGGTTAATACTTTGATCAAAGCCATCTTTTTATGCAGGTCGGGTGCATCGCTGCCCCCTCAGAACACTGGATTGTGACATTTCATGGGCATCATGCTGCCCTGTGTTATGCATAAGTTAGGCTGTCTTTGGACATAAGTTCTTGAGTTGTTATAAATACTCTGTGTATACGTCCAAAATTGTAAAAAATAAATAGAAAGTTCAGGGTATGTCAGTATTTTAGGAGATTCTGGGACGTCAGGTGTACGCTAGCTAAGTCGTCAAGGTGTGACAGCGACTTTAGAAAGATAAAAGAGGTCTGTAATTCTCATCATAGATACACTTCAACTATGAGAGAGGAAATGAGAAAAGAAATCCAGGAAATCACATTGCAGGACTATTAAAGAATTTATTAATAAATAAAGGTGGAAAGTAAGTATTTGTAAGATTTCTGACCTTCACAGACCTGTAACTTCTGTCCTCAAGTCTTTACATGTATTGATCTGTTTCAACCAGTTATCCGTATTAAAAAAAAGCACCTGTCCACAGCCTCAGAGTCCAACGTCAACCATGCCTAAGATCAAAGAGGGAATCTACAACAGGTAAGCAGGTTGGTATGAATCAATCAACATGGGAACAAGTGGAAGATCTTTTCCTGTGGGGTTAAATAATGAAAACAATGAGGAAAAATCCCAGAACTACATGGAGGAACCCAATCAATGACATGCAGAGAACTGGAACCAAAGTAACAAAGGTACCATCAGTTTAACACTAAGCAGAGAGGGGCTCAAATTCTGCTTAAACCAGAACATGTCCAGGTCTATCTGGCGTCTACCAGACTTCAGCTCTATGATTGGTTAGAAGCTGGACCCTCTGGGGACGGTGGCAAAGACAAACCACTGGACATTATGAACATTGAAAGCCACCCTCTACACACTGACTTCACCACTCAGAGGAGTCTGATCAGTGAGAGATTGCTCCTCACCAAATGAAGAACAAACATACTACTGAACTCCTTTGTTCCTCAAGCATCAAGCTGTACAACTCCTCACTGGGGGGAAGGAGGAGGTGATAGGAAGAGGGACAAGGGTCTGCACCCGCCTCCTTGGACATCTTATGCAAAACATTACCTATTGTCACTCATGTGCAATATTCTTCTCTCTCAGTGTGCAATAACACATGCCAACTACTGTGTAATCTTCCCTTAGCTCTCTACTGTGCGGATATTTTTATATCTAAGGGAAACATATTCCAAGACATTACAACTTTTCTTCTTTTTTATGTTTTTTTGGTACTATATACACTCTTTTTATATTGTCTGTTGTATTTATATCTTTAATGGCATCTTGCTTGAACTCTTTATACTCTACATAAGCTACTGGAACCAGAATCTCCCTGAAGGAGTAATCCCAATGGATAAATAAAGTTGAGTCTAAGTCTAAGAGTATAGGGATGATCCAGAAGAGGATTAGTAGAATCTAATGTGGTCAGATGAAACCAAAATAGACATTTTGGCTTAAACTGAACTTGAGCTGTTTGGAGGAAACAACATTAAGTTGCATCCATCGAACACCAAACCTACAGTGAAGCATGGGGGTGGAAACATCATGCTTTAGGGCTGTTTTTAAGCAAAGGGGACAGTAGGACAGATATGTGTTTGTGTCTGGGTCTACCAGCAGGATAACAAACCAAAATCATCGCTAAGACACTTAGCAACAAACACTTCCGGGTCTGGGATTGTCCTAGCCAGGCCTCAACTTCATAGAAAATGTGTAGAGGGAGTTGAAAGTCTGTGTTCCCCGGCAACAACCACAAAAAAATAAAAAAATTACTGCTCCAGGGGAGAGGAAATGTTTGAAATTTCATGTTTTTTAACCTTTTGAAATTTAATCTCCGCCTGTTGGCAGGGTGGATAAACAGAAGCAAACAACTAGGTTTAAATTTAAGCACTACCGGGCCACCATCGGCCACCAATTTTGTGGTTATTGAAGAAATTAAAAGGATTAAAATGATAAAAATTGAGACTTCATCTCATGTTTAGTAAAAGTCTTAGAAACATCCAGTGAATTTCATTATCTATGTACTGAACGCCTTCAGAAGATGGCCAATCAGAAGAGACTGCTGTGAGTCAAAAGTCTTCCCCACATATCAGAAGAAGTGAGTGGTTGCTGAAAGCTAACATGAAAACAGTTGTTTTGTAAATTCAAGTAGTGAGAAACAAAACAGAGCTCTGCTTTAAAGAATCTGAGTAAGCAGTACCTTCCACTTCTTTGTAGCTCTTCTGAAGATGCTGTTTATTCTGTGGATGATGGGGAATTCAATCTCCTCTCGTTTGAACTGGTAGTGTATGTGCTAGAAAAAAGAAAGGATGAACAGAAAATGGAAAAAAGCCTCCATCATGTTTTGCATTTTTCCATCAGCTCATTGGAACCAAACATCCAAATGAGAAGGGATTAAAGTTTTAACTGTAATTACTTACTGCTCTTCTTTTCTTGATCAGCTCCAACACATTGATTTCATACTGCAAAAGATTGACAGAAAAATCAACTCCAGAAAAACAAAGACGACACGGAACACTGCTCTAAAGGACCAGATTTTACCTGGATATAAGCAATGAAGTCTTCCTTGTTCACTATCAGCCTGTGCAGTTTGTACTCAAGAGCTGTAGCCTTCTTAATAATAGATCTAAAACAGAATCAAACAATAATCAGTTTATGTTAGAAGTCTAGAAATACAAACACCAAACAGAACATATTTAATTTAACATGTTCGGCCTTTTCATTTTAGGGCTTTAAGAATTAAGGCGAAATGCAACTTTAGTGACTTTTCAAACAAAAGTTTTGCACAAAGGTTCTGAGGATTGTTATTTTCAAGTTTACACAAGGTTGAAATTTTACATTCGTGCTCCAATTTGATAGACTAACTCCTTCAGCGTGGCGGGCCAGAAAAAATGATGACATGGCCCCCTTGTTCACCTGATCTGAACCCCATCGAGAACCTGTGGTCCTTCATGAAATGTGAGATCTACAGGGAGAGAAAACAGTCCACCTCTCTGAACACTGTCTGGAAGGCTGTGGTCGCTGCTGCACGCAATGTGGATCGCAAACAGATCAAGACACTGACAGAATCTATGGATGGAAGGCTTTTGAGCGCCATGGTGAAAAAAGGTGGCTATATTGGTCACCTATTTGTTTTGTTTGTTTGTTTTTGAATGTCTCAAATGTTTATTTCTGAATTTTGAGGTGTTATATTGGTTTACCTGGTGAAAATAAACAAGCGAGATGGGAATATATTTGTTATTAATTACATTGCCTAATAATTCTGCACAGTAATATTTACCTGCACACACAGACATCCTCAAAAAATGGCCAAATCTAACAAGAAAACACATTAACTTCCAAAAACATGAAACTTTGATATTAAGGAGTCTTTTGAATTGATTGAGAACACAATTGTGGCCCAGTAATAAAAATAATCCTCAAAAATACAACTTGTCTAATAATTCTGCACAGTGTATTAGTAGCAGAATGTGGGAGGAATCCTCTGCATTTACCGTTTGATCGCTTTGTGAAATTATCCCTCAGCATGACCCTATCACAGCCGTGCTTGGGGAATGCTGCAGTAATTCTGAATCTGAAATCCTCACCTGGAGTTCTCAGAAAATCTTTCCTCTTCCTGTTTAAAGGGCTTCACCTTTGCCTCCTAACTTGTCTTGATTGTTTATTTTTAATAATAAAAAGGTATCCACCACTTCTTTTTAGCCTCGTTAAGGCGACGGTATGGCTTTGGTTGCAGGGCACAACAATCATAGCCCTACAGGATTAGATCTCTTAAAAAGCTAAACATTTTTAGACAGGCTTCTTCAGGGCACCATGTGGTTCTTCTGACTGCAATAGGGAAGTTATATTCTTTCAAGCTTATTGATTTTTATAAATGCTTTAGTGAAACCAACCATCAAGACTAAACTAGTCAGTCAGACTGAGTTGACGTTATGGGATAGTAAAATACAGGAATATATTTAACGAAAAGTGACGATTCCTCTAAAAATAAAAATTATTTATGAATGAATATCAATAGATTTTTATTTACAGCTTAAAGATAAACTTAACTGAAGCAGTAAGCCATAGTTATATAGACTGGAAGTATTTTCCTACTTGACTTCTTTCTTGGTGAACAGTCCCACTCTCTCTAGCTGCTCCAGCTCAGGGATCCTGTCCTCGATCCGCTGCTGAACCACTTCTGCCATGTCTGCACTGAGGCCGGCGGCTTCAACCCGCTGCTAACAAACCAAATCAGGAAAAACTATTTATTCCTGACGCGTCTGCAAACGATCACACCGTAGGATTCACTCACACATGGGTGGAAGTTGTGATTGGCGGGTTTTCCGGTTACGTCCGTTTATCGGTCCGAGTGGAAACGAGGACATGTGGAGTACGTAGTTCTGCTGTTGCCCAAAAATAGTTAGACGAGTAAATCACTTTTATTTCAGCTTATTTTAAATTCCATTTTGTAGTTTAATGTTAAACGAGAGCTAACCTGTCAAAAACCAGAGCGTTTCTATTTTTTCCATCAGGTACAACATTTGATTACAACCTTGTTTTTTTGTTTACTTTTTTTGTTTGTTTGTTTGTTTCTTTTGGGGGGGGGATAGATCGTTTGAAACAATTTAATGCACAAAATAATTTGTTATTATTATTGTTGTGTTGCTGGTGCTGTATTCCAAAGGTGTTGAAATGTGTCTTAACATTATTATTACTTTATTACTGTTAAAATATATCAAAAAAGGTTATTTCTTTAATTCATGTATGTGAAAGTGCCACTACAGTGTCGTTCATCTTTTTGCAGGCTCATAAATATATTAATGTATAAAAATATTTAATGAGTGTTTACATATTTAATATGTAAAAGTAAATAGAGCCAGACATCATAGGTTAATATTCATATATCATATTAGAATATAGAAACTCATTTAGAGCTCCCTTTTTTGGGGGCTAATTTAGAGCTCCTTTCTGATCCGTAATAGACAAACTTTTTTTCTTCTGTTTTTATCGCAAATATGCGATGTTAAATCTCGCGAGATTTTATTGTGAAAGTTGCTAAGGAAACCTCCTGGTTTCTCCACGTTTGCCGTGTCCGGGTTGTGGGTTTTGCTTGCTTATTTATTTATTTTGCAAACAGATATTTAATGCTGACGGAATATTATCTCTTTGCCACTAAGAGATGCTTCGACTGTGAGAAAGTTTACTTCTTGTTCCGGAAGTCTGAAGGTAGATAACTACTGCTATCGTAAAACTCTGCAATACTTCCGGGTTCCTCGTTTCTATTTTTTCCCCAAAATGCAAACTAAAAACTTTAATGAAATCTTCGGTGTTCTGAAGGATTTCGTCCCCCCTGTTTCTAGTGGAACCCTGGTAGTGGTCCTTTGCTCCTGTGTTTGGTTTGGCATCCAAACTTCACTCAGCCTTCCTCAGGACAGCCTCAGCATCGGAGCCTCAGTTTTCCAAAGGGGCCACATCCACCGCCTCTTTCTGTATCCCTTCCAGAACCGAAGCCTCCCTCAGCTCCTCCTGAGCTCCACTGCTCTGCTGTTTCTCTGTGCCGGTGTTGAGAAGGGCTTTGGCACGGTCCGCTTCCTGTTCCTTGTCTTCCTGCTTGCCTCATTCACTGGTGTGTTTTATAGTTTCTTAGACCTTCTGCAGGATGTCAGTGTGCACACCGAGGGTCTGCTGCCAGTGATCCTGGCCTGTGTGGCTCTGACCACTCTGCACACAAAGATGAGCAAGGCTTTCCTCTGTGGGATCAGTTTTCCTGCAGTGGCCATTCCATGGGTCCTCCTCATCATCTGCACCGCCCTGATCCCTCACAGTGTGCTGCTCTGCAATGTTATCGCCATACTAATCGGCTGGGTGTACGGGAAAGGCTGGCTGTCTTATCTGGACCTATCCGAATCCAGGGCTGCCGTTCTGGAGAAGATCCTGCCGTTTAAGTTACTGAGGAGGATCAGTGGTGCCATGTTTGTCCCTGCATCCTCACAGAAGAGGAAGACTTTGCTTCCACGAATAAATCCCACTCCAGGATCATACCCAGTTCAAGCCTATGCACCGCTGCCCAGCATTTCCACCACGGCAACTCCAGATACAATGTTTGAAGGTTGGCCAAACTCTGTCGGCTTCAAGCCACCTCACAGTCTTCATGGACAAGTTTCAGCTCAGAACATTGGACACAATCATGGACATTTCTCAGCTCAGAATGTTGGACACGATCATGGACATTTCTCAGCTCAGAATGTTGGACACAATCATGGACATTTCTCAGCTCAGAATGTTGGACACGATCATGGACATTTCTCAGCTCAGAATGTTGGACACAGTCATGGACATTTCTTAGCTCAGAACGTTGGACACAGTCATGGACATTTCTTAGACCAAAGTATGGGACACAGTTGCAACCATAACCACGGTCATAGTCATGGGCCTGAGCAGTAGTTGTTTTTGTTTTGTGCATTTGACCACTTAATGAGACCTCAGACCCAGAGGTTCCCAAACTTTTTAGCTTCTGGCCCACAGAAGGGGACCGCAGTCAACTGGTGGAATAACATTACAAAGAGCATCAACAGCCAAAGTAGTTTTTATAATTTTGAGCTCATAAACATTGGTGTCTATTAATTTCTGTACTGGATTTGGGGGCCACAGCACAAACTTTGGAAATCAATGCTCTAACCTGTAGTGTTGAAAGGGAAGGACTGTCAAAAAACAACATTGTTTTAAATAAATAAGCATTTATAAATGTTGCATTTACGTTTTAATTTTTTGTTTATTGGTTGTAATAAATCTTTCTTTTTTTAAAAGGCTTCCAACTATGATCAAGTAGATGATTCACGTCTCAGACTATACTGTGTTTACATCCAGTATGACTGAAACAATCATTGATTATATATTAATTTACAAATTTAGTAATCAATTAATACATATATATATACTGTATACACACACACATCTTTTTTTTTTTTTAAATCAGTGTTGCTTTTGGCCCCAGGACTTATTTTTTACTCCCAATTTATTCGTCATTGATAGATCAGGAGCCCTGAAGCAAATGCAGTGGCTTAGATGTTCTAGCTAAATGTAGTGTGGTTAGTCCAACTGAATCATTTTTACGTCATCCGAATGCATTTTTGCTATCTCATGTTATTTGTATTATAGATTTGATGTTTAACATTTCAATGGGAAAAAAGGTCTTTAGATAATTTCAGGACTTTTCTACAGTACTATATTTGATTATATTTGATTTTTTTTTTTATATCTGTTTAAATGCACCTCTAGTACATGATGCTCCCTTTACTATAGTTTAGTGAAATACATTTTGAATTAAGGAGATCATTAAAGTCAGTTCTCCAGTTCTACAACTTAATTTTTGGAATAAAAATTTCCTAAAGAGCAAAATAGTTGAACCATCTGCATTTTAATTTATTCTGGGAGCAATTTGGACCTTTTAATGTGCCTAGCAATAAGTCCATAGCCCTAAAACTGTAAAGTTCTTTAACAAACCTTAGATCAGCTGGATTTATATTTCAGATTGGGGATAAAGCTGCTTTGTAAACTTAACAGATATTTCAAGTCAGAAAAGAATGGATGCTTGTAAAAAGAAAACTCAGAATTTTCAATGCAGTTGTATTTCCTCTGCTCAAGTAATTAAAGTTTAAATGGTGTCAAAAGGAAGATTTTTTTTCATATGGATGGACATTGAAATAAAGCGGAATCACTGGTCCGCATTTGAGTCAAACTGATTATTTTCTATTCATTTATTCTAGATAACCTGACACACGTTTCATAAATTTAACAAAAACAGCCAAAACGCATCAGAATTTTCAATCATCACTTTGTTTTTTTATTCACACTTGCAACGTCACATGTATCACAATCTCAGTCAGAAAAGCAGAAAGGACTGAGCGCCCAACGCCTCATGGTCATCAGGGATGTTGGAGCACGAGAAGAAGATCCATCCGATGGAGACTCATTCCTCCCAGGTGTCTCCGTAGATGTTCTTCTTCACTGAAATGTAAGTGACATTGGAGATGATCAGGTTCGATTGTTAATTAAACAAACGTTTAGCTTTTTACTTTTTCAACTTTTCACCAATGGCCGCTCACCCTGTTTCTTGCCTCTCTCTGGGTCCCTCTCTGCCGGCGCTTTGAGCATGGTGTCAGCCTTCTGAATCATTGTCACCTCATAGTTCTCCCTGTTTTTGAGTCTCAGGTCCTCATAGAGGATGGGTTTCTTCCGAGGCTCATCGTCTTCCTCCAAATACGACTTTGCTGAGGGGGACGGAGACAAAAGACTTACACCATAACTATGCATAAAAGAATAAAACTGAAACACAGCATTTAATATGTTATAAATTGATTATTATTAATAATGAGATCAATATTTAAAGCATTATGAAACAAAGATAATATCTGGGTTAGGCTCCTGTAATGGTGAATGTAATTTGAATGCATTGCTGTATAATTTGAATTAAACCAGATGAAACTGGATTTAATCCACAGGCTTAGAAATGAACTGAAACAATGCTCTTAAGTAGGTATCATTATAATTTAGTTCTATATAATTAACCTGAAGGGATTCTATTTTAGTACGAAGTGTGTAATGGCTGTGGTTTGTGGTAAGTGTTGGCTGGTATCAGTGTAAAACAAGGTTTTTGAAAGTTATGGTTCCCAAAAAAAAAAAAAAAAGTCTAAGGTTCTGTTTGATGAGATGCTAGAGAAAGGGCTAGATTGTCAGGAGTTTCAACGCTTGCTTTGTTCCACCTGTTGCTGGGCACTTCATTCAGTAATTAAGGAGCAAGGATTGCCTTTTAATTGAAAAGGTTGCTTATTTTGGATTTGGATTAAAATGTGATTAATTCCGATTAAATAATTACATGGCATGTAATTAACTCAGTTTAAAAAAATGTATTGTTTAAAAGTTTAAATATCAATTTTAATTCGAGTCCCATCTCCAACTGAAACAAAACATAAGTTAAATATCAGCTTAAATGTAAATATAATTGTTGGTATCGGTAATAAATATCATAGATTTATACATATTACAAATATATAGATATAATCTTTCCACCAAAACACTTTTTTTCTTTACTCAATGTAACATAACACCCTCTGTGGCATGTTCATTAATGTGTTTTATGCCATTTAAAGTTTAAACTTCATATTTGCCACAGAAAAAGTGGTTTAAGAAAAAATAATTAATGCAGTTGATCAATAGCTTAGATTGCCTCCAAACCAAACTGTGGTTTCTGTGCAGTGGCAGATCACTACCATATTTATTTTTAATGTTCTAGTATCATATGCCTATCCCTAGTGCTGCTTGTTATTCTTTGAGGAAATAAAGTTTTAAGCTGCAGTTATAAGCAGCACATGTGATGAGCAGCAATCTCCCAGTTCTACTGGAGGCGGTTAGACTCCAAAATTACCAGAAGTGGAGAAAGGGAAAATGTTCTTTGCAACTAGCATGTTTACCTAAAAAATACAACAGAATATAGTTGGTATCCAATTTTTAAATAAGACTGTATATCAAAATAAGCAATAAATGTACAAGGTTGAACAGACATTTAAACTAAATGAGCAGAGCTGCTGAACAGACAAATGATTGGCGTTTCTCAGTGGCTCCAAGATGATCATCTGTCTTTAAATTTCTCCAAAATGTTTAAAAGTACTTTTTTAACTCCCATAAAATCTTCAGAAAACTTCGACGGTCAAATTAATCATGAACCAATTCATAGTAAAAAAATTACAGATATTTAGGAGTAGTTTTGGATTAAACCAAAGATCTGATGCACATTAGACAATAAAAGCTACCGGGACTATGTGAAATCATATCCACCTGATAAGATTCTGTCCATCCATAAATACTGCTAAACTATATTTTCAGCAATGGAAAGTGTAGTTTCTCCCAATAAACAAGCTTTAAAAGTGTTGGAGCAAAAGCACATACAATCATTCTCCTGCATATTTCAAGAAAAGCATAATTTAATTAGTTTGGATAATTTTATAAAAATATTTTTTCTTAAAAAACAGTCTAATTGTATGTAAAACTTTACTCCTTATACAAACATAGCACCTGAGGTGTCGCTAGCAGAGGTGCTGCCAGTGGTCTATGCAGACCAGCCAAATCTAGAACCACATTGGAAAGAGCTCAGAGTAAGACGGCCTCATATATGGAGTACAATAGCTGCCCAATTAAAAACCCTTATGCTACGTTGACACCGGACGCAGCAAAATCGCATCTGCTGCTTTATTTTTGCTGCTTGTACCAGTTAGTTCTGACGCGCGGCTGAAGCAGCTTTGCTGCTCTGGCTGCGCGGTGCAAAAGTGTGTCTGACGCGCGTTGGGCGGAGCTTCACTATCCTTTCTTTGCCTTGCAGCTATATTTGCTGTGATCAGTGGGAATAAAGTATGTTTTTAGGTTAGAAAGTCCACCTGAAAACTTAATCAGTGCAGTCAGTTCATCCATATTATCATCCTGCCTTCTAATATTATTTCTGTCGGAGCTGCTCAGACCCCCACATACCGGCGGTGCGCCCACAGTAGGAATCCCTTCATCAGCAGCCTCTGGCCGGGTCGCCTCCTCGCGGTTCACCGCGGCAGCTGGTAGGTGTATTTCATCTAAATAATCCAAACTGCAGGCAGCAGGATAATAAAAGCGAACATATTCTGCCGGCAGATTTCTGCATTTTAAGTTAATTTATGCCTCAATAAACTGCTTCAGAGGAGTGATGATAGCGCTCTGTGTTATCAGCGATGTGTCCGTCTCCCTGCCGGCTCCCAGATCAGCTTCTCTGATTGGTTGACGCGGCGCCTCGAGCAGCAAAATTTCAATTTTTCCATCTCGAGCAGCAGCGCGTTTGCGGCGCGTTTAAGCATCTGCTTTAACTGCTCAGACGCGCTGCACCTGCTGCTCAAAACGTGCCGCGGGACCTTTTGCTGCGCCTTGAAGCGCGTCAACCATTGACTTTGCATGTAAACTCGCTGCTTCTGTCGCGCCTGCTGCGTCCGGTGTGAACGCAGCATTACAGACATAAAACAGATAAAGAAGGCTTAAATCTACTCAAACTTCTGAATATTATAACCATGTTTGCAAAACTTTAAGTTTGTATCTTACAGTTTGTATTTGTTTTGTCTAAGGGAACTGGTCTGCTAATTAGCTATTAGTTAGATGACCAATAAACGTGGTATCAGTTGCAAGTCTAATGTAATGTGTTGTTCTGTCCCTGTCACATCAACTTTGTGAAAAAATTTGAATAACTGCATTAAAAGAAAATATTATTAATTTAAAAAAGGTTCTAATTATAAATGTGTAAAAACCTGACTTTTATTTTGAGTTACTATACTCTATGTAAGTCACCCAGCCCGTGCTGTAACTTTGCTATAAAATAAAGCTGAGCAGTGCGGTCGCTGATGTGTACCTGGAGAACTGTAGTCATCTGCTCTGCCCATTTGCACAGGAGAGTCAGGGCTGAATCCTTGATCTCTGGTCTGGCTGGAAGCTGCGCCTGGTGACTCAGCAGGCTGGAACATGGTGTCAAACGAGGGGTTGTTTGGGTCGCTAAGCTCTGACTGAGCACCGCCGGAGCTGCAAGGAAAAGCAAACGGATGATGAGTGGCTGATGACAGTATTAAGTGAGGTCACCTTCTGTCCTATACTCACTAATGCTGAGGCATCCCCGCCCTCTGCCTCAGGATCTCTCCCAGAGGAGAGTTCTCCAGCCTCTTGAACTTTTCCTGGCATGTTTTCATGTATGACAGTTTGCCTGCCAGGTAGCCACAGAAGCCAGCAACTGGAAGATGAAACATAGTCAGAAACCTTTTAAAGATAAAATCTCATTTTTGAGAGAATGCCAAATATATTATCTATATTCAGCTACATTTTTGTCTCAATTGCACGCAGCATGTGGGGATAATACCTCATATTTAGGAGACAGTAACTTACAGGCAACTTTAGGTAAAGATCCAAACCTGGGAGATGGAGACAGAGTCCCTACAGAGGTCCACAGATCAGTGTCAGAATTACATTCAAGAGAAATAAAACTAACGTTTAAAGGCAGCTGATTTGAGATCCAATTTACCTCTGGCAACTAGGGCTTGAGTTATCGCCATGCTGACCACAGAGAAGGGCACCGCTATGAAGAAAGGCAAATATACAAATGTTCACTTTGTTTTGAAGAAGATGAACACCTGAAAGATTTAGATTTTCTTTGTTTCAACTTACATCTATACAAGAAGCTCTCATGGTTGCACTCTCTCAACACTCTCTTCTCCTCCTCTGTGGGGATGTAGTCTACTCCCAAAGGAGACTGCTGCTTGTAGCATAAATGTGTAATTAGAGATAATTAATTAGAGCTTTAACTAATTCATCTCTCCATAAATCAATACATTTGTTTCTTTTCTTATATTAAAAAAAATCTCATGCAGAGTTTATTTCAGCATTCAAAGGTGGAAGGAGTTAGGTACAAATGCAAACCTAAACATGGCCTAGTAAGGGGAGGATTAATCAGAGAAGCAGCCCTATGATAGCACAGCTGCAGAAACCCACAATCCAGGTGGGAGGATCTACTGACAGTGTGTGTAGATCACAAAAGTTTTACGGATTAACCAAAAACTCAGTTACACAAAACATAATGTGTGGGGTAACCATAATTTGCAGTTTTTATGAAGCTAAATGTGTGTTTAAAAAAAGCAAACAACAGATAATATTTCACATAGAGTCTCTTTATACAAGTCCCACTTTTCAGATTCAATTGCAAGAAAACTGTTGAGACCACATTAATTTTCTTTCAGTTGCATGATTCTGTGCAGCTTTATGTTTTTATGAAACATAGAAACATGCACAAATGAATAAAAATATGCTTATTTCTTAGATGAAAGTAAAAGAGAATGCCTTAAAGTGTTGGTTTAGCTTAAATAAGACATGTCACTTAAAATCATTAATGTTTAATTGATTATATTTTAAACTCTTCCCCTTTAGGTTGTATCCTGTTACAATCACCTTTTAATAAAGATGCATTAAGAGTTAGTTTAGTCTGTTGTTCTAGCTGCAAACCCTTTCCGTCACTTTAAAATTGGTGCAAAACTGAATGATTCCTCACTAAATTATAATACTCAATAAATAGTAAATTGTTAGATGAGAACATAATAAATTTGTTGCACATTTATTTGTTGCTTATCGTTTTAGGGAGGGTTAGAACACCGACAAAGGAAACAGATGGATGACTGATCTGACCTTTTCTGGAAGAAAATTCAAGAAAATGCTAAATATAGGAAACAACTCCAGCTTTACATCATATTTAGTGTAAGGTTAAGTAATTTATTTAGAAGTACTTGATCTTAAATATTTAATAGTACGTTAACTCTTTCCAGGACACTTTACACAAGGGTAAAACCCTACAGTTAGGTAATCTGAAATTATTTGGTTTTCTTGTCGACCTGTTCCAGATATTATCAGCAGACTGCAGCAGCCGACCCGAGACTGATGGGATTAAAAACACGCGTGTAGAGGAGGCTGTTTATGTCCAAAGTCAACCCCAGCTAAGGTTAGCTAACAGGCTAACTGCCTGGTTTAAATGTGTTTACCTGCGCTGTTCGGCGCTGCTGCTCCTCCGTAAACCCTGGCGGACTAGAAGACATGTTTACAACACGGCCGAACACTTATTGGCTCCTCAAAGCATGTACTTTAACAACGTGGAAACCACACGACTGCCAGAGTTATCAAATGTTTGATACAATGTCATTGCTCCTGCAGCATTCGCTTAACCCGGAAGTAGAAACAAACATTCTTCTTCTTCTTCTTAAAAAAAATGTCACGGTTGGCCAACAACAAATAGACGCATTCCGCCATCTACTGGTGTGGAGTGTGGACCGGAATGACTTTCAGGAATTAAATTCTGTTAGACAATTATTATAGAAACGTTGGCGTGTTGGTTTAATCAAATCACTATCACGGGGAAACAGGCAATTGATGCTCCTTGATAAGAAGCACGCATTAGGATAATTTGAAATAGTGTATCAACTCTAATTGGTTTTCAAAGTTATCTTATTTTGTTAATTAACCATAATTTGAGAAGTACTCTCTACTGGTCATGGATAGATTGCTACTGCATTAATATAACCCTTTATAGGGCACTCAGTGAAATACTTTGAAAATCAAAATTTCAAGCCAATAGTGTTATTGGAATCCAGGAAAATACCTTATTACCTTTGAAACATTAAAAAAAATTGATATTTTGATGGAAAAAAATGATCTAATAACAAGAAAGACCAACTTGCCCGGATATATTAAGAAAAATAACTTCTTATAGGAAATTCATGAAAAACACAAAAAAAAGCAAATTTTTTGATCCAACATAACCTTAGAGGCATTAATACTTATACTAGCACTTACTTTTTTTTAGTTTATAAACCTAATATAATTGTCATCTAGGCTTATTAACTTTTTAACTTTACTTTTAAACTTACAATTCGCTTTTTGCCTTTTTACTTGACTTGTTGACTTTTTTTTACCACTTAATTTACAGCAGTATCTTTGCTGAATGGCTAGATATAGATCTTTCGCTTCTAGACCTCACTGATGGACACGGGGGGGGGGGGACTCCATTTGTAAGGGGTATGCAAGTGATCAAATATGGTAACTTGCCCTATAAAGGGATAACACAGTGGTCTGTAATCTTTAACACCCAAAAAGCCATTTCCCCCCTCAGTTCAGCCAAATAAAAGTAGTTTAATTTTAATTTAATTTAGCTTATTTATATAGCGCCAATTCACAAAACATGTCATCTCAAGGCACTTTAGTTCACCAGATCATATAGTCAAATTGATTCAAAGTTTTCTATCTAAGGAAAACCAATTGATTGCATCGACTCATTGACTCAAATGCAATCCCTGACACTAAGCATATGTTTAGAGCCGCAAATATTATATGACCTTTTATTAAAAGGGTTTTATTATTCGTGTTAGAGATCTGCTACATTGAACATTTTGCTGTTTTAAACAACCGGCAGTTTATTTGTATATTTAGGTTTTGAAATAAGAAAAAAATCATAAAACATTTGAGCAGTTTTTTCTAGAATATTATTTGTGGAAAATGATGTAAACTTTTAACGTAAATGACAAGAAAAAATACATTTAAAAAAACATATTTCTGGTTCTTTTAATGTGCTACCATAGTGAAAATTTGGTCCATATTTATATATTTTTTTTAAACCCTGAATCTTCTTATTTGTTACACTTTGTTATTTGTTACCCAAAGTTTAGTTCTTCATAATTTTTAGCCAATATTAAGAGCCTTCATAGAGGGTCAGCTTGCAGGTTGCAGTCCCCAACTATAACAGATCAAACAAAAACTTCCCACTCGTTCTGCTCTTCAAATATGTCTGACCCATTTATAGCACAGTATCCAAAATGTGCTGAAAGATACACAGCCATTAAGGAATTTGATTTCCAAGTTGATCTAATTAGGTTTATTTATTTAGCTGCCAATTGACCTTTACTCATCTGCAGCTATGTTGCTCCATAAGCAACTAACTGCTATGTAGTGTGCATTTTCCTCTGACACTTCTGTTAACAATAAGGAATAACTTCAGCAATTAGAAATGCAGTAGCTCCTCTGTAGAATTGGAAAACACAGGCCAGCCTTTAAAAGTCAGATGCAAGTTTCTGACCACTCTGCTCTGGAAACAAGCAACCAGAGCTGGACTTATAGGAGATGGTGTGATGAAGTATGTTAAATCCAAAGACCCCTGTTTCTCATACACCAGCTTTGACAAAAACATAATCAATAACTTTACTAGTCAGAGGTAACAGTATTATACCTGATTGGTCTCCCTAACACTACATATAATTTGCCATGTGATCCACACTGTTTTATGAAACTTCAACAACTTTCCCACCAACCTTCACCACACCAACGATGTTAGTGACTGCTTTCCTCCTGTGCTGTAATAGCAGTTCTTAAACCCTAGATGATGCTATTCACTTGAAAATGACCGCATAGGGTCTTTCTCTATATATAAATATACTTTTTCACGATTTACAAGTGAAACTGAACAAAAAACGTGTTATTTTAGCCCATTTATAGGTTACAAAAGGTGTTAATTGTGTTGCATACTTTTCTTTCTGTCCTGTTGTGTCCTTCAGATGGATTTGTCTGTTAAACTGAAACACAGGGGGTATGCGGAAAAATCCGTATCTCTGATAGTCTCACTGGGTCACTGAGGGGTCATTTGGCCAAACCATTCTGTCAATTACTGGGACTGTTGGGATAACGCTTAGTAAAACATGCAAGAACAAAGCTGTGAAGTTTTTTAACCAACCTCAGTACTTTTATCACATTTTTTTATTCATGAACTTCTAGCCTGGATTGGTTTATGTGGCATACAATTAATAGTTGAAACAACCTTCAATATATTTGGTTTAATGAAACAGGTTTGAGATTAAATGGGCAAAAATATATGGCTGCTGCAGTTTAATTCAGTTCAACTAAAAAATCTGATATTGATCTCAAATGTAAATGAAATTTTGTTGTATTTCCCACAAAAGTTAAATTATTTTCTTAATAATTAATATATGTGAAAACTGAGGTAAGGGACATAAGTTGGGAGGTACGTTGATGTCATTTGGTTTGATTTATTTTCATTAAGTAATTGTTGATTCTTGAGACAGTTCCTTTTGTTTGTAGTTTTTGGCCTTGATTCACTTCAAAGTGTTTGCTTTCCCTCTTCTGTTAGCAGAGAATATGTTCTTATTTAATAAATGAACACCCTGCCTGTTGGAACGCATCCTTGTTGTGGTTACTTGGGATTTGTTGAGCATTGGGATCATTAATATTTTGCGATTGGAGCTTTTCCCCCTAGACAGGTCGTAACCCCGATTAGAGCATAGAAATTAGAAATATTCCTGCCATCACTCCTCTGAAAGCTGTAGATAAAATTCTAAGTGGGAAATATTATGGACAAGTCAAAGTTTCCCATCACAAATTAGACAGCAGCTCTATAGAGATGAATATATATTATGCATTGAACTAAGAGACTGCAGGTGTTTTTTCTTCTTTGAAATGTCTTATTCCACTGCTAAAGTGTCTCACTTGCCTGATATATATATAAAAAAAGCACAAAATTTAAGAAAAATTGGCTTACTTAGATATTTTTGTTTTTTGCAGTGTAGTGACAGTGGAGAAAACCCCCCTCCATTTTAACAGGAAAAAAACAGGCTCAGTATGAACAGCCATCTGCCGAAGGAGACATACATACAGAAAGAAGCAGAGATACAAAAGGCAACTGTCAACCAGCTCCACAGGCGGCCCCGTCCAGGAAACACACAGTCAGGCAGACAAGCCCTGAGCCAGGTCCCATGTCAGAGGACAAAAGAGAGCAGATACAGTTAGTCACAGTCAGAGAAATAGGACTACACTGGAAAACAGGCCGATCTCCAGCATCTATAAACAATGGTGTTCATGGCAGCAGTCAAATTTCTCCCTCCAGGATGGAGTCACAGCCAAACAGGAACAGACCAGATGAAGCTACAATGAGAAAAAGCAGAGATAATATAACATTAGATAGAGATAGAATGAAGCAGAATGATGAAAAGGGGTCCCTATGTCCTCCAGCAGTATAAGCCTATAGCAGCATAACTATAGAGATAGCTCAGGATAACCTGAGCCACTCTAACTACAAGATTTATCAAACAGGAAAGTTTTAAGCCTAGCCTTAAAAGTAGACAGGGTGTCTGCTCACGGACT